GTGATCTCTTTAGGATACATGGAAAGAATGGCGAATTTTAGAGGGCTTCACATATGACATTTTCTGGACTGAGTTCAGAATGAGATAGGTCATACAACGAAAGTGGAATTTTTCATGACCCAAAATGCAATAGCATGGATGTAAAAGTCAACATTTCAGAGAGTGAATTTTAACTGCCCGTGCTCTGCCAAAGAGCACATCTTTAAGGCTCCTACTAGCTTCTTCATTTGAATGGTTGAAAAGTAATGACTCTGATTATTTCAGCATATGTTCGTGTGTACATATGCAATAAATCTATTTGGGTGTTACAACTGCCTTCAAAGTCAGAGAACAAAAAAAAAACAAAAAAACAAAAAAAACAAACAAAAAACCCATGCAAAGTCGTGAGTTGTAGCTTCATAAAATTACTTTGGAGAAAACACATTAAAAAATAATTATGATACAATCCAGTACTTGTGTCCTGAAAAGAAGTGTTCGGTCATGTATTATTTTTGTTTGATAAACTTGCTACCACATGAAAAAGCAAATTAAAAATATATACTGTGGATCATTTTTATACACTCTTTATTAGCACACTGGTTGTCATATAGTTCCTGAAAAAAAAAAAGAAAAAAGATAATATTAAATTGAGGGTAGAAGTACAAAAATAGACTAGAGCAGAATACAAAAATAGACTAAAGCAGATTACATAAAACTAAAAATATCTCTAGCAACTGTAAGTGCAGCCAAAGTCCGAAGGAATGCAAATTCTATTTTATAGGTTAAAATGCTTAGGTCAATTAAAAATGAAACACTCTAGAAGTGCTGGCTTTACTACACTGTGCAATAGATAATGCACCTGTGAGTTATATTATTTTTAAGAATTCTCAGGAAGTTATTTGGTAAAGTTAGACTTAATGGCACATAAGACTCTAGATGATTCTGGTATGTTTAAAATCTTTGTTATGTGCAGGGTAGAAGCACACCATATATGCATGTAAAGCCAAAAATGTATTGATAATGTAACTGAAATAATAAAACTAAAATCATTATCAAGGAAAACCTAACAACTGCAGAAAATGAGTGAAAATCAATTTTAAGACAATCTTCAGTTTCTGTCTTTTTTTATGGTATTAAACTCACCCTTTTTCCTCCTCCTTAGTCCTTCACTGGAAGGAATGCAACATTCATACTGGTGGTTTCTTCTTCATCTCCAGGATCCACTCGGGGTCATTTCTATTTGTCCACTTACACTTTTTTTTTTTTGCATTGGACTGCAGCTCTATTTTGGACCTTAATTTGCATTTTTTGGTGGATCTAAAGTATATTAAATAAAATTTGTGCTTTTTTTAGCTTTAAGACCTGTTTTGTCCAGCTACAGATCTTCATTCTTTAACTGGGCACTGGTGAGATTCCTATCGTTGTGGGGTCTCCCATCTCTGATCACTGCAGGGTTCCTCACATCACATCCTATGACTCTACTTCTCTTGTCTCTTGTTATGGTACCAGCCCTGTATTAGTATATAGGACTGCATTAGACTAGTAAATACAGTTGTACTTATAATGTTCACTTGTTGCAATTTATTTAAACCTATGGTTATTCCATGTAAAGATAAAACAAAAGCAAGGCAAATCAGAAGAAAAAAACAACAACAAAACAAAACAAACAAACAAAACACACAAAAAGAAACATAAACAAAAAGAAACATAAACAAAAATACCCCAAACAAAACAACAACAACAACAAAAAAAACCCCAAACCCAACAAAACAAAACAAAAAACAACAACAAAAAAAACCAAACCAAAAAACTATTGTCACAATCAGGCCAAGTAAAACATCACTGCAGGAAAGTCTGATGGCCCTCAGTTCTTGCAAATTCAATGCAGAGCTTATGATCTATTGCTAGAAAGGAGAGTATTGTTCTGCAGGGCTATGGGGAAAAAAGCCCTCACAGTTTACTTTTAGAATTTGCATTGAATTTGCCAACTTTCCTTCTTTTGGTCCCACAGTCCATTTAAAAGCTTCCTCACTCTAGTGATGTTGTTACAGCAATGTCACATTTTATTCTCTAGAATTCTCATGTGAGCTTTGCCTGGATTGGGTTATTTGTTGTTATTTGTTTAAATGCACTAGTAAGTTTATTATCAGGTATAGACATAAGTACACTAATTTATCTGTTTCTTAGCTGGCTGGTACCAATCCCAGGGCTTTGTAGTTGTTTTAGCTCATCATGGATTCTAAGCTAACCAACACACAAATGAGAAGCAAGGTACATACTTTCAGGTTTAGTGTGTTAATGCAATCAAATGTCTCATCCCATGATGCACAGAAAGTGGAAGTTGGAAGCTGCATAAAAAGGACCTAGAGAAATGACTTGTGTGTGCATGGATGGAGTAAGAAAAGCTAAAGCTAAGATGGAAATTAAAAGAGCAAGAATAAGGGAGGACAATAAAGTTTCCTCTAAATATAGTGGTAGTAAAAGAAAATTAAGGAAAATTATTAAACAATTTAACTTTTAAGAGCACATCCATAGATAAAAAATGTATAAGGTCGTTTACAAAAATAAACAGTGCAACAATAGTTTTTAATCATTTTTCCCTCCTCCTCATGTTGTAAAATTTCTTTATTTTTCCCTTTGTTCCTTGAACCTGCTGAACTTATTTCTGCTAGAAGAGTAACATAGTTAATTGTGAACAAAAAAACTTGGTTGAGTTCTCTAAGTACTGCATTTCTCAATTACTCAGCCCTTACTCACTATGAAGTGATAATTAGGCATTAAAAGCTAAGTGGATTACTGTGGAGATCTCTCCTGATATCCATTTATCACTTAATCAGACTTTAATACCATAAATTATGCATTTCTCAGCAGTATTCAGATTCCAATAAATTTTATAACAGTTTGGAGTTACTAGGTTTTCTTGACATCATTGTGGAAGGCAAAAGTCATAAAGTTTGCTTAAAGGATACAGCCACTATAAGAATTTCAGATTTATAGCAAAATAATTCTTAAAGCCTGTAGGGTTGCACTAATATTTATTCATAAGGGTTTCCTGGACAAGACAATTCCATCCTCATGAATAAACATGAAAAAAATTGATCCTAAATATATATTGAGTTGAAGCTTTTTCCCCAGCTTTTTTTTCTGCTCCTGATTTTGCCTTCCAAACCTCATTAAGAAAAGCAAAACAAACCAAACCCCACAATTCCTAGGAGATTGCAACTTCCTTAGCACATTCAGTTACTTTTGGAATTAAAATATCTATTTATGTGTTAGCATACCTTTTTGCTGGCCACTATTACAGGAGAAGTGGCTTTCTAAAAGTATTAATCATGATTAAATCTTCCCATAAATGCAGATACTCTGGGTTACCATTAGAGTCAATATGAACAGAGCAAATGAGAGTCTTGTAAATGTAAGGTCAGGTTGCCCATAATTTGCCATGTAATATTACATATAATAATAATAATAAATAGCAAGAAGTATCTAATTTCTTATTTCCTTATGTTCTCTATTGCTAAATATTATTTTAAAACGTTTTTAACTCAGTAAGCTTTATGATAAAGAGTAAAAAAATCTGATGGATGTTATCAGTGTGTGATTTTTAGCTGAGGACTGAAAGGATAGACTAAGTATTAAAAATCCTTAAAAGCATGCTGGTCAACCTCTCTGGAAAACAGATTGCACTTGTGGTTTAGCACCTGTTGGCCCAAAATAGAGATTTTTGGCCACCAAATCACAGCATATTCCTCTTTAGGTCTAAATTTGTCACTCCATTCCAGCATACTAAAAGTTAATTAAATTGGCAGAAAATACTGAAGAGAGACATAGTCATTTTCTTACCAAATTTTAGCCTATTAATTTGTGTTTTTCTTATGTCTCTAGATTTAGATAAAAAGGATAGATGATTAAAAATTTTAAAACAATATTGTTATTTGAAGTAAATTTATTTCCTTTTTCTTTGACGTATAAAGAATTTAAAACAAAATACTAATTTCTGACTCAAAATTTTACAGGACATATTGTCTGTAAAGAAATTATCCACATTTCTTGTATATTCCTCCCAAACATTTTTCTCCTGTACAGCTCTTCTGTTTTCTGCTTAAGCCATAAAGTAACACTGATTGGTAAAAATATTGGCAATTTACACTATTCTTTATCCTTCTAAAATTGGAAACTGTCCCCCCAACCCCCATGCCCCTGCCCCACCCCAAACTCCTGCTGAAAAAATAGTAAATTAAAATAAAACAAACCAAAAATATAAAACAAGGTAAACGAAACAAAACATATGAATAAAAAGAAAAAGAAAAAAAAAAAAAAACAAAAACATAAAACAAGGTAAACGAAACAAAACATATGAATAAAAAGAAAAAGAAATTCAAGAATGTATACACAGGATTCATTAAATTGTTTTCAGTATCAAAAATAATAAAAAGTGAAAGTGCTTTGTTTTTGTCAAATTTACTTGTTTTCCAAGACATATAGTAAGCCTGATGGTCTTTCCTATTGATTCATATCACATTGCCAGAGACATATTTCTCTTCAGTACATTTTTTTAGAACTGTCGAGTTACAAGTTTATTTCTTCCTGCTGGGCTAAAAGCAGTTTTCAGCTAAATAAGCAAGTTATTCAGTGAATCACACTAAAGGTTACCTCACATAAATGTGGACTAGCCTTTTCCTAGCCAAAACAGAGCTCAAAAAATACATAATTAAATATGTATATAATAGATTCAAAAGTCTCGGGTAGATATCAGGGTTGACTCATGCATCCTAAATTGTTTCAAATGCTGAAAAGTATTTTTTGTTTAACCTTTTTTTTTTTAAACACTGAGATCTATGTTTTATATATAAGTGGAGCGAAAAAGAGTCTGAAACATATACAAGATCTTTAACTAATATTCCAGAGACTTTATTTAAATAAAGTTATTCTATCAATATTACTAATATCACTTACAGTGCTTACTTAAGAATGTGATATTAATTCCTAATCTTTTTGGGACTCTTTTTTTCCTACCTCAGGTGAATTCTGTGAGGTGAAAATTGACAACTGTCATTCCAATTCATGTGAAAATGGAGGAACGTGTATTGACTATGAAGATCATTTAAAGTGCACTTGCCCTATAGGTGAGCCATTGATAATTTATTCTCTTTTCTAACAAAACTAATAAAATTTCATCCAAATATTTATGTTAAGAAATAGTGGCATAAAAATAGCAATGTATCTCAACAAATGCAGTGAACATTTTTATGAAGAAAAGCACTTTTTCTCTTTGTTCAAGAAATAAAACTGCCAAATAACTCTAGTAGAGTGGTGTTAACTGCTAACACCCTGAACAGACATAATGTCAATATTCTGAATGAACTGTGATTAAACATTCTCTTTGTGGTGCAGGTTTTGAAGGTGAAAGATGTGAACTCGATATTGATGCCTGCTTATTCAACAATATAAGCTGTGCCCCAGGAGCACTGTGTATGGATAAATCTCATGGATTTAATTACACATGTTTATCACCATGTATTGGAAACACAGAGGTAGGATAAAGCAATATATTCCCCCCAGGATGTTTTGGGAAATCAAACAACTTATTCTAATAAGCAGTGACCTGATGAAGCCTCATGTTGCACGGGTTTCCTAAACATAGGACTCATTCTTGATATAGTCTCATGCATTCCTTTTTCCTGTGTAACACATGTAAAACTGCATGATCTTACTGGTCTGGTCATTGTCCAACAAACCATGTAATGTCTGAGCTCTGCCTTTCTTGCTCTTTACAGATTTTGTCACTGATGTCTCCTTCTGCCCCTACTTGCTGCTGCTATATTGTGAAACTTGAAAAACTGCAGTCAAAATCTCTTAGCAATCTTTGATATGTTTAAAAGTTACCAGATAGAAGGCTGATGGTACAGCAATGCACAGAAAGAATGACAAAAGTTTCTTTTCCATTACAAACAAAAATAAAAACTATATTCAACAACAAAAAGGCAAGACTAATTACGCTTCAATGGGAGATGAAAATGCAGTTATAAAAAAGCCCTAAATTCATCTTCCTTGCAAGTTGCTCTTCAGTGCTCACAGCATATGGAAATGAATACTACTTTCACACTTTCAAAGTTTTCTAGAAGAAATGTATTTGTTGTATCCTTCTCACAATCCTTGATAACCTTTTAAATTACGTTTTAGCAAGATTCATTCATATCAGGGTGGACTATAAGATTTTGGTATAGGTTAATCTAAAATACTGTTGCACTTTTTTATTATGATGGTTATTATAAAAGCTCTGTACATAATGCTATATAGCCTTCCAAACAACTACACAAACATGATAATGAGTGTTTTACAGGATTTATCAATTCTTTTATTGAAATATATGCACCATAAAAATTTACTATGCATAGTAGGCAACATATTTACAAAGAACAATCAGTATTTATGTCATCTTGAAGACCATGAGTAGACACTTAATAGTGAATATGAAATATAGCACTGAAAAACTCACTGGTTCAAAGGTTTATACTTAAATTGTTCAGCATCTGGTAAATTTTAGCACTTTTATGATTTAAAATGTCATACTGAGTGCAAGTATATTGTACATGGCCTAGCATTATAATGGTGCAATCATCATTATGGCTAGTTAGTATGGGAAGTGATGGTGTGCCAAGGATGCTGATAGGACCTAGTAAAACATTTTACTGTAATATTCACCTAGATACCCTCATACATATTTAATTTATTAATACAAACATTTCATAAATTATCATAAATGTCACATGGGAAAAAAATTATATAAAATCTCTATATATTTGTATCAATATACAGTCATGGTATGAGATGCTTGATTTGGGCATAATGTGAATAATTAGTAGACTTTCTCATGGGAAAAAGAATAGAAAATAAAATTATGCATTTATATACTTGAGATTTACAGATCATTAAAATTATATAATTTCCTGATTTGAAAAAACAAAGGCTATATTCAAACAAATATTTTAGTACATTTCTGAAATAGTGTAAGCAATCATTTGAAATTAGAGATTAGTATTAGTCAATAAATCAAGATTTTGTCATCTTTAAATTAGTGACTTCCAATAGGACCAAATTTAACCACTTTGTGTTAAAATATCTCTTTTTTCCATTTGAATGCTCAATGTATACTACAAATTTTAATACTTTTATTAACAGGATCTCATAGAGAATTGGTAAGATCACTCATAATAACAAATAATTGGAGTGCAACACGATAAGCCTAGGTAACAGAATCACAGAACTGTAAAACCGCCCAGGTTGGAAGGGATCTTGTAAAACCATCTAGTCCAAACTTTCATGGAAAAGAAAGTCTTGGTTAGATTATAAATCACATTTTCAAAACCTCCAGTGAGGTCCACATCCCTGAATAGTTTACATACCTTGAATGCCCACCTGTGACCCAAACAATCACAAATGAGGAGGCATCCTAAGATGTTCTGGGCCCTTCACTTCAAGAAAGATATTGAGGTGTTGGAGTGTGTCCAGAAAAAGGCAACGGAGCTGGTGAAGGGTGTGGAAAGTAAGTCTTATGGGGCAGCTGAGGGAGGTGGAGTTGTTTGGGTTGGAGAAAAAGTCTCAGGGAGACCTTCTCACACTCTACAACCACACGAAAGGAGGCTGTAGCCAGCTGGTGGTCAGATTCTTCTCCCAGGAAACCAGGGACAGGGCAAGAGGACATAGCCTCCAGCTGTGCCAGGGGAGGTTCAGGTTGGATATCAGGAAGAATTTCTTCACAGAAAGGCTGTTAAATTTTGAAATAGACTGCCCAGGGAGGTGGTAAAGCCACCAACCCTGGAGGTCTTCAAGAAACAGCGAGATGTAAGACTTGATGTTACGGTTTAGCTGACATGGTGGTGTTTGATCAAGAGTTGGACTCAGTGATATTGAAGGTCTTTTCCAGCCTTAATTCTATGATTCTGTGTGTGATTATTTTTAGTGGCTACAGCTACATCTTACTTAAGAATTTTTTTGCTTCCCTTAAAACACTTTTTCAAAATTCTGTCAGCAAGCTTGAAAATTGTTTCCTTTAGCTCTTATAATGAAAAATTTGAAAGCATAACCATAAACTATGGGAACTGCAAGATGTTGATATATAGTAATTGTTTTTTAAAAGTAAGCATAGTAATTAAAAAAGTACTTTTCAATTATTTTTCATTCTCTTTTCAGTTTTAAGATGTAAACTGACATCAACTTGATTTGTCAAAAATAATTCCCATATGAATTAGGAACTAAACCACATTTGAAAGTCCCACTCAGTGTCTATCTATAGCTTTATAATACTGAAGTTTATTGAGCTCCACTCGCATATTTTACTTGAAAGTTTTCTCTTTTTATGAGCCAAGATCCCACATTGCACTTGCATTCAAGACCATAGTTCCAAACTTTTCAATGGAAGTATCTATATGCACAACATATATTTAATGTTTAGCGGGGCTGCCACTTCCATATTTGTTCTGGTCTTTACATGCTGTGCAACTCTGCAAAGTTTCCTAATCTGTAAAATTAAGGCAATTTCTGTTTTCAATATTTTTAAGACAAACATTTTATTGACTTGCTTAGTGTACCACCAGTCTATGAAAGAATATAGGGCAGATTAAATAAAATTGCAGTTCTGGAAAAATTTGAATACTCAGGTTCAATTAACATTGCAGTAATAAAACCTGAAGATTACAGTAAAATTATATGCTTGGGGGAAAATATACATATGTGTGTATTTTTTTATATATATATGTAAAATGCAGTTTCATTCCAACTGCAGAGAATTGCATGAAATGTAAGATGAAGGAGAGGTTGGAAATAATGACTGCCATCTTATCTCAAGCATTTGATAACACATGGTACTTAGAGAAGAGACAGACATATAGTGGGGTTATATCCCTCAAGTCCTGCAAAGGAAATATAAGAGAAGAATAAAATCCTCTAAGGCCTAATTATATTTCCTAGCTAAAATAAAATCTCCTGGTTGATTTTGGAAGAAAAGGATTCTTACATTTTATCATGACTACATAAAAAGGCAGATTTGTGTTAAAGTACTTTCTCTAGACAGAAGTATGACAGTTAGACTGACGAGAATAGACCTGTGTATGGTATGTTGAAACATAGGATTTGTGTTTAAATACATTCCATAGCTTTCATTTCAATTTAAATCTTTAGATTACAGTAACATTTTAAAGGGTAGCACCTTTCTTCACAGTATAAAGTATCAAAGTGACATAAGAATAAATGAAACATAATGCTGTGGCAACATTGAAATATTTGTCTTAATCACCTAAGGTTTTCTGGACTGTTTTCTTGAGTATAAGCTTATTTGACCAATTTAAGCTTTGATCAGATAGCAAATAAGCTTCAGGACAAAAAACATATAAATACAAAAGTAAGAAAACACATTAAAATAATAAAAAAAGAAGATAACAATTCCCATACCACACACATAGAGGAGTTTTTTGCATTTATGTTGAACTGTGTTTTTCTTTGAGATGTTGTTATATTGAATAAGTATCCCAAGGTAAGTCTAAAATTCAGTACAGTGAGCATAATAAAAATCTCTTCATTTTAAGGTCAATTTAAAACTTAATCAAAGACAAATGAATAGTAGAATATTTCTGCCAAGGACTGTTATTATTACAAATCTTAATGACATTACAAAGAGATTCAGACTCAATCAAACTGAAGTACTAGTGCATTAACTCATCTTCTAGACACCATTTTCCTTAAAAATCAATTGATTAGAAGGAGGGGTCTTAATTGCTTTGAAATGAATATGTAGCTATCTGTCTTCATACTTGCAAAATTTTCACAGAAATTAAAATGGAACCTAAAAGTAAAATGAAGAAAAAGGCATTAATTCAGACTTATAACTTTCTTTATTTTTTTAAGAATACAGAAAATACTGGTTTAGTAAGTAATATTAGCAATTAAAAACTAAAAGAGAAATAGCTGTTCCAGTCTAAATTTACCAATCTTTCAACATCTGCAGATTGAAAAGAAAGCATCTTCTGATTTTCCCACAGCATAGATGTAATTTGTAAACATGTAAAAGATTCAAGGATAGATTGAATCAGCATTATAATTAAAATGAAAAAAAAAAAAAAATCAGTATTTTTCTGATAGCCACATATTAAGCTAAATTATACAGCACAGGAACAGTTGCTCTACCCTTTCAATGGAAAAGTACTTCACTACTGTCCGTCCTAAAACAAGCACATTTTAAGGGCAGTTGTAAAAATGATACTGTTAAATTAAAACAGAAATGCTTTTTAACAACTAAACAATAAATTGACATATTAATTTAATAACATTCAGTATTTTATGTTCTTGGTGATGAATCTTATTTAATATTACAACATAAAAAGATTGAATAAGCATATTTATTACTAATTGCTTATTCCATTAAACTCTTGGGGAAAAAATACAACATGCAAAGAAAAGGCTCCTTGTGTATGTGGTGGATCAACACAGGCTAGATGCCAGGTGCCCATCAAAGCCACTCCATCAGTGCCCTCTGCAATTGGACAGGGGAGAGAAAACTGATCATGAGTTGAGATAAGGGCAGGGAGAGATCACTTAATGATTTCTATCACAGGCAAAACAGATTTCACTTAGGGAAATTAGTTGAATTTATAACTAACAAAATCAGAGCAGAATCATTAGAAATAAAATAAATCTTAAAAGCACCTTCCCCCCTTCTGAACCTCCTTCCTGGGTTTAATTTTATTCCCAATTTTTTACCTCCTCTTCCCTACAGTGGTGCAGGGTTATGAGGCATGGGAGCTGTGGTCAGTTCATCATGTCGGTTTTGCTGCTGCTTCCCCTCAGGGAGAGGAGTCCTTCCCCTGCCCCATAGTTGGTTCCTTTCCAATGGGAGACTGTCCTCCACAAACTTTTCCAGTGTGAGTCTTCCACAAGGGTTACTGTTCTTCCTGATCTGTTACAACGTGAGTCTCTTCCACAGGATGCAGTCCTTCAAGAACAGGCTGCCCCACCATGGGTCTCCCACAGGGTCACAACCTTCTCCTGAGCATCCACCTGCTCCAGTGTGGGTCTGCTCCCCAGGCTGCAGGTGGATCTCTGCATCCCCATGGCCCCCATGGGCTGCAGGGGCACAGCTGCCCCACCATGGGCTGCACCAGGGGCTGCAGGGGAATCTCAGCTCTGGCACCTGGAGCATCTCCTGCCCCTCCTTCTGCTCTCACCTTGGTGTCTGCAGAGCTGCTCCTCTCACGTGTTCTCACTCTGCTCTTCTCTGGCTGCAGTCACTTCTGTGAAATAAGCTTTTTCCCTCTTCTTAACTCTGTTACCCCAAGGCTCTGCCACTGCTGGGTTAGACCTTGGCCAGCAGTGTGTCCATCCTGGAGCTGGCTTGTGTCTGTCAGGCATGGGAGCAGCTTCTGGCAGAAAATGAGAAAAAGAGAAATCACCTCTATAGCACCCCCTGCTCCCCCCCACACTACCAGAACCTGACCACGCAAACCTTATACAGAGTATTTGTAATTCTCATCTTCAGGTATGTGCAAATGGAGGTAGTTGCTTCTATGATGAAGGAAGCCAGAGCTCTCACTGTGTCTGTGCTCTTGGATGGACTGGAAACACATGCCTTGAGAATATTAATGACTGTGAGAAAAACCAGTGCCAACATGGAGCCACATGTGAAGATGGAATTAATAAATACAGGTACTAACATGTTGCTTTCTCTGCAAGCTTACAAGGGTTGTAATCCATATGAAGTTATTTTGACTTTCAGAAAGAATTACAAAGGGTGTTGTTAATGCAGTAATAAAATTTTCACATCAAAATATGCCATGGAATACTGATTTTCAATAAGAATGTGCATTCAGTAAAACTGTATAGTCTGAAGTGTTGCAGGGAGAAATCATAAATATTCCTCTTTGCTAGTCAAATAAGTTAAACCAACTATGCAGAATCTCACATAAACAAATTATCTATTTTATTAAATGGCAAACACTTTCTGTGCCTGGACTCTGTCATAGAGTGTCTTATTAAAATTTGAATGATAATTTATTATCATTTCAGTTATTGAAAAAAACAAATTATTTATTCTCCTTAGTGAGCTGTAACATGCTGTAGATATTTAAAAATGAGATTTTTATAAAATATGGTAAAAAAATAAATGAGAAATGTTTTCTTCAATAAACAGAGGTCAGCTGCTCTTATCAGATTTGAATTATTTATTTTTCCTATTAAAAATCCAGAATTAAAAAAAAACTTCCCCATAATATCTGTAAATGTATTTTGAAAGACATTATTCTATGCTGTGCCATGCCCTATTTAGAAGCACTGTAATTAGTATGCTTTAGTGTTTCTACTTAGAAAAGTTTGCAAAAGTGGACAAAATAAAAATAGAAGCAATTAAAGATTTCTTCAACTTCACTTCTGTTTTTAAAGTATCTTCTGTAAAAAACCTGAAATCGCCAAATAGGCACACAAATGGAGAAGAATGATTGATTCTCATTATGCTAGAGTTAAAGGAGTTTTTGTAAAAGAATGCTTGCAAAGTAAACATCCTTCCTTTATTCCACCTTGCAATCAACTCTTGTATGAAATTACTGGGCCATATTTTGGTACTTAATTTAACTTTTAAATCTGTGGTTTTCCTTTCTTTATCAGGAGAATAATTCTGCTAGAAGTACAAAGTCATATTTACATTACAAAATCCACTAGCATTTACTGAGAAATTAGTATTTCTGCAGATATCTGTTAATAAAGAACTATTGATTTTAACTTGCTAGTCCAGACTCAGTTTACTGACAGAAAACACTTAATTCTTACTTTTTCAGTCTTGGAAAGACAAATTAAATTGACAGATCAGTCTGTTTATCTAAGGAACAGGAAAACACACCATTAAGATCTGAATCTCAGATGGTCACTTTTGTTAGCAGAGAACTTGACCCCAAAAGAACACAACTGGTTATTTTGTCAAGACAAAGCATAGCATGTTTACTGTTTAATACCTGCTCTGTTGAAAGAGAATGGTTGTTTCTCAATGACAGTGAAATATTTTTTAAAATAACTAAACTATGCCTGCTTTTAAAATAAAGGTATTTCCCAAGTTATTGTTATCAAGTGAAACAAAAAAAAATTCCCCTTGCCAATACACAATTAAAAAAAAAAAGAATACAAGAGGTAATGCTGAATGTAAGTGCACCCACCTTTTCTAAAGACTTGTAATTGCATTTCTGTCCTAAAATGCATATATTTTTTTATTAAGGTACATATCAAGAGCTATATTTGATGCAGTGGTTTCAGGAAGACATAAGAAAACTGTCAGCCGAATATATGGGGAATAAAATGTATAAGTGCTATTAAGAACCCTACAGAGTTCCATTTTTTTCAGCCATTTAAACTATTACAACCATTCAAAACCTCTCCTAATGACTGCAGAAGATAAAGATATGCCAGAAATGCTGGGCCCAAACAGTGGTGGTGAACAGAGCTGCATCCAGCTGGGGATCATCACCAGTGGTGTCCCTCAGGGTCTGTGCTGGGGCCAGTTCTGTTCAATATTTTATTGATGACATGGATGAGGGGATTGAGTCTTTCATCAGTAAATTTGCAGATGACACCAAGCTGGGAGTGTGTGTCGATCTGCTGGCAGGTAGAAGGGCTCTGCAGAGAGACCTGGAATGGTTGGATGGATGGCCAGAGTCCAATGGGATGAAGTTTAATAAATCCAAGTGCCAAGTCCTGCATTTTGGCCACAATAACTCCCTGCAGTGCTACAGGCTGGGGATGGTGTGGCTGGACAGTGCCCAGGCAGAAAGGGACCTGGGGATTCTGGTGAACAGCCGGCTGAACATGAGCCAGCAGTGAGCCCTGGTGGCCAAGAAGGCCAATGGCCCCTGGCCTCTCTCAGGAATGGTGTGGCCAGCAGGAGCAGGGGGGTCATTCTTCCCCTGTACTTGGCACTGGTGAGGTCACACCTTGAGTGCTGTGTCCAGTTCTGTCCCCTCAGTTTAGGAAGGATTTTGAGATGCTGGAGCTCGTCCAGAGGAGGGAACGAGGCTGGAGAGGGGCTTGGAACACAAACCCTGTGAGGAACGGCTGAGGGAGCTGGGGTTGTTCAGCCTGGAGAAAAGGAGACTCAGGGGTGACCTCATCACTCTCTACAGCTCCCTGAAAGGCGATTGCAGTCAGATTGGTCTCATTCTCCAGGCAGCAACTGACAGAACAGAGTCTTAAGCTGTGCCAAGGGAAATATAGGTTGGATATTAGGAAAATGTTTTTACAGAAAGAGTGATAAAGTGCTGGAATGATCTGCCCAGGGAGGTGGTGGAGTCATCATCCCTGGATGTGGCACTCGGTGCCATAGTTTAGTTGAGGTGTCAGGAAACAGGTTGGACTCGATGATCTTGAAGGTCTCTTCCAATCTTGTGATTCTTGTGAATTTTATATATATTAGATTTTATTTACAAAACGTTATTATAAAACTCTAGACCTTTCTCCTAGTTAAGAGATTTTAAATTATTACATTTTGGTGATAATGTATTTTTCTAGTGGTAGCTTGATATAGTAATGCTAACACAAGGAAAAAATAGAAAATATTCAGCTTTGATTCAAGAATATCCCCCTCTTTTAAGATCTCATATTTCCAGATGGGAAATAATCTGTCAACTGAATGAAATGTTTCTACCTTTTTGTCTTTTTACCATGGAATGTTTCTTTTCTCCTCCCATTTTGAAATTATTGTTCTGTATTGTAGTGTCACATAGAGGTATATTTTTATATATGCAGAGAATTTCGTTTGAGTTCAGAATGGGAAATTGCTCTAAGTGAATGAAGGGGAGTTTTAAACTTTTATATAGTGTAATTCTCATTAAGGCTGCATAGTAAGATCCTCATTATTACAGTAAGAAGTCTTAAGAGTTTTACTCCTTTGGTTTAGTGAGCCTTCTCTTACAACTAAAGTGGCCCCAATCATAGTGACACAAAACCTGTAATTAATTCAAATTAATTGTTGCACTACCAGCTGAGTCTGTGCTGTTTGTGATATCATGAAGTAAGTCAGTCAGCATGTATTTAAAATTATAACTTCAAAGAATTACTGCTCTTGCCACTGGATTGATGGTGTAGCTGTCAATGTGAATCTGGAAGATACCATGCAATAGACAAATTGCATCCACATTCCAAAAGAATCTCTTGACCTTTGGTTATATATACTTGAGAGAAAAAAATACAGATAAGATTCATTACCTCAGTAAATAGACAATGTTTCTACATAAAAAGAAAATAATAATAATCTTTCCCTTCTAAAGAACCTGTATTCTTTGATTATGTTCTATGTAGAAGTGAGAGAACTGATTTAACATGGCTCAATGAGAAGCATTTAATGAATAATTAAAGTAAAGAGATCTTCAAAGACTATAACCTCCTGTTTTGAAATCAAGGGGGAAATTTATTACTCTGTTTTCTTCACACTTGTACAATTTTCCTTTCAATATTACATTTTGAACAACCAAGGTCCTAACTGAAATAAGAAATAACAGAAGATACTTTACTATTGTGTATTCAGTGGAAAGGAATAACAGTGCGAAAAGACACAATTTAAAACTTGGTTTACTTTCCATTAACTGTCCTGTTTCCGTTTCTTCAGTCCAGTGTGCTCAGATGAAGTCCTACATTTATCACAACCCCAGGAAAACCCAGCAAGAAGGACTGAGAACTTTTAGATTAAGACTTTTGGAGAAGCTGTATTATAGGCTTGACCAATGTTTAAAAGGTCATGATGAACTAATATATTTTAAAAATGTATTTTAGTCAATAGCTATAACTCTGATGTCAGCATTTCTTTATTTTTTATGCAGGAAAATGTCTCATTAAGAAATTAGGTTTGGTGTATGTTAAATGTAAAATTGCCAACACATTCTTCAGTATTTAGTATACAAATTTCAGTGCATACAATTAAATTATTAATTAATCTCAGTACAAAAGAGTAAAGTGACAGTAAATTGCTTTAGAATATGAAACAGTTCTTTGCAAGATGCTAGCAAGATTGTGAAAAGTAAACATAATTTAGATAATTTCTGTGTATCACAAAATTTAAAGCTTCTATTATTTCTATTCTATTATTTTATTTATCCTTGATTTTTTTCCATTTTCTTCCATCTGGGTAAATTGAGCTGTTTGATTAGATTACTTCTTTATACCTAATTGTTGTTTTACAGGTTTATTCATCCTATACTATATATGTAATTTGATTGCAGGACGTAGCTGACAGGGCCATATAAAGTTAGTACTGTGATATACACAGTTTTCTGCAGCAATAATAGGTTTCTTCTACTAGTGAAAGTGGAGAAATACTTTTCCTCACATTTCTACAACTCCAGAAGATCAGTGAATTTATGTCACAATTTCTTTTCAATTTTCTCCACAATAAGTTATACAATAACTTTTCTACAGAGAATAGAGATTCATATAAAAAGTCAAAGTGAAACTAAATAACCTTTTCAAACAATTATGTGTGTACAGTTCACATTTCAATGGCAAAAAGAGATAACTACAACTATAACTAACTATAACTATAACTATAACTAGATATAAATATAAATATAAATATAAATATAAATATAAATAAATATAAATAATATTAAGGAAACAAAGTAGAGAGATTCTGGGAAGTCTTTGCTAATTCCAGCTGTGAGTGCTCCTACATGCCTCTTGTATCAATACAGAAAATAGCTAGGTCATGTCCTAGCACAGGTTAGCATAGACACATCTTCAGTATAGTCTTTGGCTTTTTGCAGTCATTTTCAAGATTCATTGGATGTACGTGGTTATTTACTCAATAACACAAGTTCACTACATCTTTAGTGCAGGCAGTCTATGGTGACAGCTTGACAGCTGTAGTGCCTGGACTAACCAGCACCAACTGACTTACCCTCACATCTGCTGTTCAAGACCCTTAGTGATAAAAAATTGGTAGCAACACATTGCATCTATTCCATAACCATTCTCATTTTAGCAACACATTCCTTCTTAGACTAAATTCCATGCCTGTGTTTGCATTTCCACTTAACATTTATTTTGCAAGCATAGTAAATTATCGTGCAATATTAACTATGCTTAGGCTCTGGAGTAGTAGCATACAATCATCTGCATGATATGTGTAGGAGCACAGTAATCCTAAAATGACTTGTGTTTGCTACTCAGTACTAAAATCAAAAGCATTGAGGTATTTGTTTTCTCTCTTAGCACCTCTTACCCTTAAAATCTTGCTGTGGATGAAAGAGGACATATGTGAAGCTAAGAAAGTAATGTTATTCCTATTTATGCTAACACAGAACCTTTTCATATGCTGTTCTCTGGCACCATGCTTCTGCTTAGACTGTTCCCCCATTTTGTAAGGCTGACATTTTAGTCCTCCTTAAGAAAGAGGCTGGGGAGATGTCATTAATATCTCCTGGTTTCTGCTGGGAGATCTCACACACACACAGAGCAGATGGGCCATGCCAGAGGTGAAGCTGGAGCAGGAGAGGCAGCAGGTACTGACTCCAGCACAGGGAGTGACACCCAGACAGACCGTGGAGAGGCTGAGCCCCTGCGCTGAGATGCCACTGCACAGACAGGTCATCCCTCTGATAAGGGCAAAATACAAGTTCCCTGAGCTAGAAATATAATTACAAATGGAAATTCTGGTATTGTACATTTTTTTTAATTTATTGTAGAGAAGCATTTATGCTTCGAAGCAAATAAGACTGAAAATCAATCCATGCCGCAAAGATTTTGATATCATGCTCAGTATTATATTATATATTATATTATATTATTATATTATATCAGTATTTTAGTACTGATGAAAATAATAATAAGAAATTGGTTTATAATAAAAATATAATGATGATACTACTACTACTAATACAACACTTAATTTCACTGTTGTAGGATATGACCCCTACTAAATTAAAGTACATCCAGGTATAATTTCACCAGGAAAAACAAAGTGCATTTCATTATTAGCTGTTTTCAATTTCTTCAGACACCAAAGCTTTGAAAAATAAGATATTTATGACATCGTTGCTTGTAGCATGGAATCAGAATTGCAAAATCAAAACTAGAAGATTCTACATCACATCTGTTTCTGTGTAGATCTTCTGTGGCCTCTGCAGATAAGTTATACAACTAGTAATCGTCAGGAAATGACAGAAAATTCTTCATCCTCCCATTCTTGTTAAGGAGAGCTCTAAGTTAAATTTTCCATTCAATGATTTCAAAGAATTTTCAAAGAATGATTGAATAGTTGCATTTTCACAGTGCACAAACTAATTCTTATTGTAAAAAACTTAAGGCTATAAAGAGATCGACTGCACCAGAAAGATTAATATGACTGGTTGTTTACCCTATTATTGTAGGTAGATTCAGAAAATGTGCAACTAAAGGTAACTAAAAGCACACCTGCTTTTAATGTTTATGCATAATGAAATTTTGTGCAAGTCAAAATTTTATTTAGCTATAAATGTAATTGCCTAACGCCACCTGCAGCCAAGCCCAACACAGTCACTCCCTCACTCCCTCACCAGCAGTATGGGGAAGAGAATTGGAAAGGTAAAAGTTAGAAAACTCCTGAGTTGAGATAAAGACAGTTTAATAAAAAATGCAAAAGCCATGCACACAAGCAAAGCAAAACAAGGAATGAGTTCACTTCTTCCCATGGGCAAGCAGGTGTTCAGCCATATCTAGAAGAGCAGTGCCTCATCACACACAACATGTACTTGGGAAAAAAAAATGCCATGAGTCAAAATGTCCCTCACTTTTTCCTCCTTCCCTCTGCTTTATATACTGAGCGTGATGTCACATGGTCTGGAATACCCCTTTGGTCAGTTTGAGTCACCTGTCCTGGCTGTGTCCCCTCCCAGCCTCCCATGCACCCCCAACTTCCTCGCCTTGGCTCTGTGTATGCCATGCTCAGCAATAACAAAAACATCTCTGTATTATCAACCCTGTTTCCAGCATAAATCCAAAACAGTGTATTAAAACCAAAAGAATATGAGGACTACCCACTGTGAAGATTAACTCTACCCCATCCAAAACAAGCACAGTAAAGTAGCTGTATGATATAATTATTGTTACTCCATTCGTTTAAAAATGAAAAACAGAATCAGCTGAAGCTCTTAAGAGAAGGCAAAGATTTCTTGTTTGCTGAGAAGTGACTAAGGCTAGAAGAGAGGATACAAGAGCTATATATATTTGAGGCATTACTGCAGTAGCAATGCATCTGTAGAGCAAACTGAAGAGCTCACAACTACACTAAATGAGATATAGAGGGCTTACTTTAACCGAGCTCTATTTTGGTCCATGGACTAAAAGCCCATTTGCAGTTGGTGTCCATTACTTGTACTCCAAGACACAGCTCCTGATTTAGTTTCCATATGTCCATTAGAAAAAAATGCAGGCACAGTTAGCAAGGACAGAAGTAAAGATCCACATGAGCATTCACTTCTGTTAAAAATAAAGGGGAAAACACTCTTTCTGCCAGATGGTTTGGTAGAGAAAATTACTATAATCAAGGCTTCTTTAACTTGCTAGTCCTTTCCATCTTCTGGATAACATCTCTATGGGTCAAGAATATGTATTATTTTAAAATTACCTCCTGTGTGAGAAGACCACTGGACATGATAAGGAGAGGACCAATCAAAGAATATATTGCCAAGTACAAGGGATTTTCTAATTTATAGGGTCAGCTATGAGATAATCCAGATTTGTTTTCATTCACACAGAAAAAGAAAATAAACATGTAGAAAGGATAACATGAAAAAGTCGTCTCCAACCTTATAAAGCTTAGATGTCTGTCTGAATTTTGGGGAAATAATACTCGGAACAATTTCTATAAAATATAATGAACAACATCTATAGAATTCTATACATTCTTTTATTGTTGGTTAGACAGAAATTGTAACTTTTGTTGCTAATGATAAAGCATTTTTATATTCATTTTATATCCAAACAAGTTGTAATATTTTTTCTTCCTAGATATATTGTAGCAAATAACCATTTTTTTTCACAAAAACCCATTAAAATGCATAATACTCATATTTATAAGAGTTTTCTCTTTCAATATTTTCCTTTGAAGCTTAATATCAATATAGCTCCTAGTTGGTCCTATGTAAATAGCTAAGATTTTAATTTAATTATTGCTAGGAGTGCATGTGAAATGAAGTTACTTAGTGACTAATTAAAGGTAAAGAAAGAAGATTGAAAAAAAATTGTGATTCATTTGTGAGTAATTCAAAGGGAGAGTATTGTTAACCTTATTAAGTGATTATTGACCTATATATTCCAAACTAGTGATTTAGTTGGATTTTTCCCCCCCTTCTCTCTTATTTCAATAACAGGTGCATATGTCCCCTTGGTTACACCGGCACATTTTGTGAACTTGATATAGACAACTGCATTGGAAACCAGTGCTCTCAATATGGATTCTGCCAGGACCACTTGCATAATTACAGCTGCTACTGCGTGCCTGGATATGAAGGACCCTTCTGTGAAGTTGAAATTAATGAATGCTCAAGTTCACCTTGCAAAAATGGAGCTACTTGTATGGATTTAAGTGGCCACTTTTCTTGTCATTGTACTGCTGGGTTCAAAGGTAAGTTTTGTTCTCTTGAAGTGCCTTGTATTACAGATGTGATTGTCCCACTTTATGCAAGTAATGTTTATGTGACTGTTTAATTACAATTATATAGAAATATAAATATGCATACATTTGCAATTTTATGATTCACAGTTTTAACTTAATTAGCATTTAAATTCTTAGGTTGTCCCTCCTAACAGTTCCCCAGTGACCTTCCCTCCACTAAATGTAAAATTCTGAGTATTAGCTTTGATTCTGTTGGGAAAAAAAAATCCATGAAGTTCCAAAACACAATTTAAAATGGATTATTTTAATTTCACACTTACGCAGTCTTACATGTTATGGCTTCAGTCATACACAGGCTGATAAATGTTTTGGTACAGAACAGGAAAATGTAAGCTTGAAGAGGAATGAGATCAGCAGTATCATCTGTCTGCATGTATAGAATATAATCAGCTATATTTGAGGAAGTTGTTCAGACTCTTCTATACACTGGAGGGAGATAGGGCATCTGTCTGTCCTAGACATCTTTTCTAGGAAGAGATGGGCTGTAGATTTCTGCATTGCATTAGATAAATCCTACACATCCTGACACTGATTTCTTTTTGCACCAATTTTTGTTTTATGTGAATAATAGTAATATTCAGACTACACGTGGGAGACATAAAATAATTTTGAATACAGTGATACCAAATTATTGCATTTTCAGCCTTTAGTCTATATCATCAAGAACAAGCAATTAATGCTCCAAATGGTTCTCTGTTGACAATCTGTGGTATCAATAATGAAAGCAGAAATGAATAGCATAGTATGCACAGTGTCACTTGTACTAACTAAACATTAAGTTGCAGATTCTTCTTCTAAGCTGCTGAGGGCTTTTGCTCCAATTCAGAGAGTCTGTGTAGCAATAGATTTTGAAATCCCAGTTAAACCACTGAAATACTAAGTAATTATAACTTCACTGTTATTTTTTCATTATTCATTCTGGCTAGCTACACATAATTTTAACATTTAGGCACTAACATTTTAAATTTCAAATATGTTTACATTCATTTACATGTTTCATTTACATATATTTATTTATGCATTTATGTATGTGATATACACTCGCAGATTTGTTGTCCTCAATTTTGGTTGATTATAATATCTTGGTCATTTGCTTACACATTTAATAAAATATGTTACTTCCTGTTCATGCTCATTTATTAATAAATGCGCAATAAAACAGAGAATTGTCCCTGAATTTACTTAAATTCCATTATGATAGCAGAACTGTAAGTCTGAATAAAAGTGAAGAAAATAGGCTCACCTGTGCAAAATCTAACACAGTATATTTCCGTCTTGCTGCTTAAATTTCAAGCCTTAATTTGTACTTTGCTGGACTTCATGGGGAACTTCAACCACCCTGATATCTTCTACAGGGAGAATACTGTGGAGTATAAGATCTGCTTGGAAGAGTCCCATGGGATAAAACCTTTCTGGGGAGGGCCTAAGAAAATCTATCACAACTTCTCAGCTCAAGAGTTATTTGTCTCAGAGAGTGGACAAAAAATACCAGGAGTCCTGTGTGGATGATCAAGAAACTCCTGGCCAAATTCGACCCCCCCAAAAGAAAGAATACTGACAGAAGGTGGAAGGAAGGACAGGTAACCTGGCAGGAAATGGAGAGACACTATCTGAGCATGCAGCAATAAGTTTAGGAAAGTCAAAGGTTAGGTTGAGTATGACAAGAAATGTGAAAGACATCAAAAAGAGTTTCTGTGAGTATGTAGGTGGCAAAAGGGAGAGAAAGGAAAATGTACTCCCATTCTTAATGAGACTGGACATGGAAAAGTTTGAGGTTGTAACTACTGCATTTGTCTCAGTCTGTACTGGTAAAATTGTCCTTCAAAAATCCACCATCCTGGAGACCGGAGAAAAAGTCTGAAGCAAGTAAGACACACCCTTGATGGATGAGACCCATGTCAGGAAATACTTAGGCAAGCTGGATATGTGTATGCCCATGGGCCCTGTTGGGATGCACCCACAAATTATAGTATCATAGGGTTTTATAGTCAATAAAGCTGTAAAAACCCTCTAAGATCACTTTGTCCAAATGCTAAGATAGCACCACCATGTTCAACCATATCCCCATGTGCCCCATCAGCACACCTAATAAACAGTTCCAGGTGTGTCAATTTCGCCATTTCCTTGGGCAACCTATTTCGATGCATGACCACCCTTTTAGTGAAGATTTTTTCCCCTAATATCTATTCTAAACCTCCTTTGGCACAACTTGAAGCCATATCCTCTCATCCTATCACTTGTAACTTTGTAAAAGAGACTGATCCCCACCTTATTACAACCTCTTTTCAAGTAGCTGAAGAGGGTAATAAGGTTCCCTCTCATTCTTTTTTCCTGCTTAACAAGCCCAGCTCCCTCCCAGCTGCTCAGTATGGCTTGTACTCTAGACCCTTCACCAGTTTTGTTGCCTTTCTTTGGATATGCAATTCTGTGAGAGCTGGTAGACGTCATTGCAAAGTCACTGTCATTTAACTTTAATAGATCATATTGATTAGCAGAAGCACCCACAGAATGGAGGAAAGCAAATGTCACTTTTCAAGAAGGGCAAAAATGAAGTCCTGGAAAATTTTGAGCAGCTCGCTGTTGCCTTGATCCTTTTTGAGGTAATGGAGCAGTTAATCTTGGAAATTGCGAATAACAAGAAAATTATCTGGAGTAATCAGCATGGTTTCAGCAAGGGTTAGTCATACTTGTCCAACTTGTTAAACTTCCAATTTGTTAAACAAGTGAAACGACTGGCTTGTAAATGAGGGGTGAGCAGTGTGTATTCTCTACCTTGACATTCACAAAGCTTTCTGCATGATCTTCCACAAGATCCTCATGAAAAGCTGATGAAGTATAGGCTAGATGAACAGACAGTGAGGGGAGCTGAGAACTGAATGAGAGACCAGAGGAAGATGTTTGTCATGGAGTCAGCCTTTCCAGGAGTAACCAGTGGTGTACTCCAGGAGTAAACAGAGGATCCAGTCCTTTTTAACTTCATTACTGACCTGACCAATGAGGCAAAGTGCACCTTCAGAAAGTTTGCAGAAGACACAAAGATGGGAGGAGTGGCTGACACACCACAGGATTGTGCTGCCACCCAGAGGGACCACCAGAGGCTTCAGAAAGGGGAGGAATAACTCCATGTACCAGTGGATACCATGGGCTGATCAGCTGGTATGCAGCTTTGCAGGAAGAGCCTGGGGGTCTTGGTGGACATCAAGTTGAATGTGAGATAGCAGTGTGCCCTTGTTCATAGAAGGCACATGCCTGGGCTGCAATAGGAGGTGTTTTGTCACAAGTCGAGGAAAGTTATCCTTTCCCTCAGCGCTGGTACTGAGGCTGTACCTGTAGGACTGTGTTGAGTTCTGGATTTCCCTGTAACAGACACAGGCACGCTGGAGAGAGGACAGTAAAGACACAAGGATAATTAATGGGCTGGAGCATTTCTTCCGTAAGGAAAACCTGAGGAAGCTTAAACTCTTCAGCATGAAGAAGAAAGGTGCAGAGAGGGATCTTATCAATGTATACAAATACCTGAAGAGAGGGTGTATAGAAGATGGAGCCAGGCTCTTTTCAGTAGTGCTCAGTGACAGAACCAGAGACAATTGGCATGAAGGGAAATACAGATGCTGCTGTCTGAACATCAGGAAATACTTTATTACTGTGAAGGTGACTGAGTACTGCCACAGATTGATCATGGGGGTTATGGAGTCTCCATCCTTGGAGATATTCAAAAGCCATTTGTACATGGTTCTGTGAAACTGGCTCGGGGTGTTCCTGCTTGAACAGGGGATTGGACAAAATGACCCTCAGAAGTCACTTCCAATCTCAACCATTCTGTGACTCTTACTGTGAGGACTTACTTATATAAATTATATAATTATGTATTACTGGAAAACATTTTTTTTAAATCTTCATTTTATCACATGAAGAGATATTGTATAATAGCATTCATAGAAGCAAATTTAAAGAAAAAAGAAATCTCATAATATTACCCATTAAGTGTGTCATTATCACACGTACTGAATATATTTTCAGATTTTTCAGAGTATAAACCACAAACAATTAATAAAAAGCTGTTTAAACTTATAAAAATGTTATCACTACCCTAGCAATTACATTTTCATAGTCTCTGAGGGTTTATGATCCTGGGATATTTTCTAGTACAAAACAGATTTTAAGTTCAGTCATAACTACATGTTATGAATCAGTGATTTGTATCTCTGTGTACAACTAAAACCCCCACATTTATTCTTAACTCATTTTTTGTGTTTGTTATGTTGTTTGTATGTAATTTAGCTTTTAAAAAAATCCAGATGTTCTTCATTTTTCTTCATAAATAGTAAATTCACTTTCAGATGAAATATCAAATGCCTATAAGAGAACTTCACATGTTAAACTTGAAAGTTTGAAGTATGATTTTTAAAATTAAATTAATAAATTTTTAAACTTTTTAAATTTTTGATCATATGGTGACTCTCTATATTGCCATCTTCTGGTTCAGTCATTCTAATGTAGCATAATGCTTCAGAGTAATTCCCAGTTCACATTTGGATTAATTCGTAGTCTATCCTTTCTCCCATATCTTTATGTTAACTCTATCTCGATACATCAATGTTCAGCATCAAATAATTCCAGCTTTCATGATGACTGGTATGTCTAAAGAAATAGCTTTCTATTTATTTCTGGTTTAATGGAAGCCCTTCTTGGAATTAATTGGAAAAAAATCACATATTTATTCAAACGTGTCCTTCATTAAAACTCTTTTCTGTTTAGATGCCTGCAAAAATGTGAAGGCAGTAACTGAGAGCTCTAAGCAGATAGGCAGTGTTGCCTCACTGGTTTCTCTTGAGGGCTTGTATCTATTTAATATTGATTGTAGAGTTAAGGCTTGGGAAATCTCTTCATTCTGAATATATACTGTACCCCACATAGCAAAATATGGTGCATCATTTCTTCACCTATATGTAATTAATAAATAACAGTATTAAAGCTCATCACTAACATAGGCCTCACAGTGGCTTTTTGAGTTTGACATTCATATATTCTATATGTCATGCTCTTCAGCATTTTTTTTTTCTCAAAAAGAGAAAAAAATGGCATATGGGCTTTTTGAAATGATTCCATTACTTTAAATTTCTGAGCTTTGTTTTTACTTTTTTATTCAACAAATACACAGGAGAAGCCCAGGTGATATCTGGAGTCTGAGGAAATGTTTAGTGTTTGTATTTTCAGTACATTATTAATTAGTTTTACATTTACTGGATATTTTTAAACAGTTGTCCCCTTCTGTAATGTGTGAATAGTATATCACCAAGTAAAACAGATCTTGAAGGAAAGTCCTTGAATTTATGTGAAATCCAATCCTTTTTGCCACAAGTAAGTTTAAGAAAGCTTATTCCTTTATACGAATCAAGTCTAGAACAGCTGATGGACACCCTAACACATTATGAAGATTGAACTTATTTCCAGGGAGCAGCAAGATCAAGGGTGCTCCATGACAGGAATCACAAACTAGAATCCAAGTTTAACCTTAGTGCAACATTGCCATCACTAAACAAGTTGCAGAGTTCTGCAACATCCAAGCAGGGAAGTCAGAACCAGTGTGTGGTAACAGGTTCCCTGACAAGCCCCAGACAGCACAAGCAATGGACCAGATCCAGGCTCCAGCTAGGGAAGCAAGTTAGAAGCAGCAGGAGACAGAACCAGAGACAAATCTGCAATGTATATACAAGTGATCCATCCTAAAAGAAAAA